AATATATTTTAAGTCACTTCCGAAGTGTACCTAAATGCTCATTTTCCTAATCGAGGCCCATCGCGAGCGAATCCGACATTGACGTAGCTCTATAGGAAGATTAACGAAAGTTCTAGTGACGTCACGCCAAATCTGTAGTCAAGTGAGTGACCTCCGGACTTGCGCCCCGTACATACCGGCTAAGCATCGCGGCTGCTGCAGATAGTGGCGAGTTTTTTTTTGCAGGTGCTTGCAGAGCTGACGATACTCGGCAAGATGCGTGCAAAGGTTTGTGATCCCGTGACTTAAGTCAGCTACACTGCTACGTACCTGCTCAACTCGGTCCCCACAAGCAGGAACGGAAAATTGTCCAAATCAAAAAGGCGACAAATTATATAGCGAAAATAAATTAATCTTGGTGTGCATATCGTGGTTATTGGCGTTATAATTAACGCTTGCAGCAAAGAGCGCGCAAGCCACAAATATTGTGGCACGACCCCTTTAAGGCCTGACTACAAATGCACGTTGAAGCTTATCGGTGCATAACATTCCAACATGGCATCGTGCCCTCTCCCTATGGAGAGTGTGGGACAAGTTAAGACTATGCTCTTTTTTTTATAGTTGTCATATCCATATATTTATTGTAAATGTAATAAAATTAGTTATTTTTGAAAATTTTTAAGTGAAGAATTTCAACTTAGCATGTCGCTTTGAGTCTTTAAAAAACTTGCAACAGGTCCTGGAAATTCCTTGAATATCCTTGAATTTTCGCTTTATAAACCTTTACGAACCTTGTAGTGGTATCTGCTGTGATCTCGAGGAGCGCACAGAAGTGTGCTCTAGAACGCACTTTGCAAACTTCGTGGCAATCTTGCACGATGATCGCAACGACGCCGTTCACATTGCAGCAGGTAATCACATTGCAGCAAGCTACTACTGAAGCATCAAAAAAATAAATAAATAAAAAATAAAATACGGCCACTGTCTCGCTGTCCATATCAGAAGTTACTATAGAAAAGGTGGCCTGTATTTTGCGTTCTTTGAAGTTTGTGCGTATAACAAGCATGAAGAGCAAATTGTAACTGAAATGAGAATCGGGGGTGCTACTATGTTGTGGTCATCGTCTCAATCTTTCCTGGAGGACAAGTGATTTTTTTCTGGTTTTCCAAAAACCTGCAACGCGATGGTGACAAATGGCTCTTCGCGACAGCCATGGCGACAGCAGATGCTTTCGTCACCGCTTGAAAATCGCATGCATATGGTTGGGTCTTAATGTTTTGTATTTGCAGGAAGCAAACGTCTGTTGGCATGGGCAGTTTTGTGACTGTCGTTTGCTGTGTGCTTATCAGCTGCGGTGTCTCTATTCACTCGCACTGTTGATGAACCCCGCTGTGGCGCACACATAATTAAAAAAAGACAGAGAACGTGCTGGGCACAGATAGGAAAAAAATATAGTGTGGCACTCGGCAAGGGGTGAGTGAGCTGAGATGGCCGAGAGGTGAGGTGTGGGCATAATAATAAAAACAGTAGAGATCCAACGGACAAGGAGGCACCAGGTGTCGATTGGCGGGACTGCAGGGGATGATTTTAGAAGATGCGTTTATTACGTGGGAGAAAAAAATCTAAATTTTGATGACCGAAGTTGGGGGTGCATTTAATATGCGAGTGCATTCATTACACAAGTAAATACAGTATATATCTAGCGCTTACAAAATGTGATAGCCAGCACTGCAATCACAGTGGACGTTTCATGAACATTAGGGTCTTTTTCAAAAGCAGTGCAGAGACTTGGTGTGTCTCTCTGGCAGAATACTTGATTGCCACAAAGCATGCTGGGGTTAGATTCCTGCTGGGACCCTGACATTTATTTTTTTGTTCATCAGGTCAATGCTGCAAATGTCAGCTTTTTCTTATGCTCTCGGGTTAAAATTAGCAGTGTTCTCGCTGTTCCTCGGTAGATATAAACGGTCAACCACCTGGGGCACTCCCCGCCTTGGATGTACAGGTATGTGCCACACCTGTTGGTTTGAAAAAGTTTGACAATGTACGTGATTGGATTGTCACATTATTTATGTCATGATCAGAGAGTCGTATTCATCAAATTATCTCACCCTCCCATACTAATTTTCGTTTATCCCAAGTAAGGGGTTGATCGTGAGAGCACTTAGACATAGGCAGGTAGACAAATAGATATGTAGACAGACCCGCTTAAAGTGCCTGCAGTACACAAAGAATGGCTTCACATTGAAAATACGGTCAAACCCTGCTGATACATTTTAGGCAGGACTGTAAAAAGAACAACACAAGAGCTGGGAAATGTAAGAACCGAGAAACTGTAAATATTGAGAAATTAGAGCAGTGGCTGAAGGGCACAATTTTATTTCACAACTTTTGCTTGAAAAAGATGTACAGTGTCGCTTTGCATTTTTTTATGCCTGATCAACCCAATGTGTATCGGGCACTTTCATTGCCATGTTACTTTTGGCACTGCCTGCAAATCTCTGCAACAAGTCCAGCGCTGATATGCCTGATGAAGGTATTGGTTCTGGCAGCTGCTTCAGCACATGCTTCATTTCCTGCGTCATCACTGATGCACACATCGGCACGATGATGCACACTTGGCCACAATGTTGGAAGATAAAATCGTGGAGGTGACAACGATGTCATCGACCTATTGCATCAAAACTACTTGTCGGAAACTTTTGTTGAATGCATCAAAATTAATTTTTAGCACTTAGACACGCCATTGACACCACGTTCAGGTGAAAGATGCGAATCTCGGAGACGGTGTTTCTGGTGACAGGACTTAAGAATGCATCATAAATGTCTCCCTCACCTCACCACTTCTGGTGATCAGTTTGGTTGTCGATCCATCAGGTAGACCAAGAAAAGCCACATGGCTGCCTTGGCCATCCCAGAGGGCCATTTCACAGCGTACAATGCAGGAATGGTGCCACTGTTGCAACATAACAGCAAAGTTCTCAATGCATTGGATCCTATCAGAGCTATGCTGGGGCTTGCGGAAAATGACGTAACAACCAGGAAAGCACAGCACCAGGGAACGTAACAGTATGGTTTTACTGTAATGCCTTTGAAGGAACCCTGAAAGGGTTTTGACAATTTTTTACAAACACATTGGACCGGTAGACTAAGTCCCAAGGGTAATTTAGAGACCGATTTGAGCTCTCTTCGTAAACTGTCTAACTTATTACAACACTTTAAAGCTGTGAATCGCTCCAGATCGCTGGTACTCGGCCAAACGGGTTTTGAACCGCCCACACACCAAGTGACACGCTCTGCCCCATTGATGTCATCGTTTCCAGCTGATCTGATTGGCTGTGGAACCTGCAGCATAGACTGCCGGTATCAGATCGGCGGCAGGATTTAAGTGTATGCGGTCTCGCGCCACATCATGACGCAGGTGCCGTGAAGGCGGAGCTTACCCGGAGGGCTCCAAGGAAAAGTTGAGGGCAGTTGAGAGACATCGATTGAACTCTGGTGCGAATAATTTGCTCCAGTCATAATATAATTAAAAACGGAATGTGAAAAAAACCGTTTCAGGAACCCTTTAAAGGATTAAAAGTTCCTGGTCCTGACTGTCACATTTCGATAGGCGATTCCAATGCAAGGACTCCCGATACTTGAACTAATGTGCACGTTGAAGAATCTCAAATGGTGAAAATTAATCCAGAGATCCTTGCAATGGCATGCATCGTAATCATGTGGTTTTGTCACATAAAATCACAGGAGGATGAGAGCAAGGTGGTGAATCAAACCAAAACCCTGAAGGGCAAGGGCAAACCAAGCATTTGTGAACTAAACTTGGTTTGCACTTGTTCTTCTATTGTGGTTCGTGTGTCCGCAGGCCACAATTTGCAAATGTACGTTTACTGGCTAGGGGCTGGGATTCACTGGCGCAGGAATTGCTTGAAGCATACTTCATTAAGAGAATAGTTTATGCCTGCATCAATGTCCCCTCGCTTTTATTGCACAATGATGTGAATTTTTAGATTCTAGTCAGTAACCTGGTTTTTGCTTTTGTCGGCTTTGGCACCTATCTGTTTGTGCAAAGTAGAAAGACTTTCAGTGGTCTGCGTTTTGATGTATTTCTCAATCCAGCTGTGCTGTTTCTTTTTTTTTTCTCTCTCTCTCTTTCACATGTACTGCACTTGCTGCGCATGACTTTCCTGCTGTATAAATTCTTGGGTGCATGGGTGTAATCAACATATTTGCAAGTCTGCGCTCTTTCTGTCCATCTTTTCTCATGTAGTTTTTTTTTTGTGGTAATATTACGTGTTAGTCTTTCTTCTTTCTCATTGCTAGTTGATTAGGAAAAGCTTTCAAATCATCTGCTTCTGTTGATTATGTTGTTCATTGCATTATTAGCATAATGATTGCCTTGCAGCTCCTAGCTACTGAAAAACATTAATTTTTTTAATTAAATTTGTTTTGACCATGCTTACTATTTGATGCCATATGATTTATTAAGGTATTATGTTTTTTATATTCTTTAATTAAGATCATTTACAGAATTAAATGCTAAGTACCAACTACACATCTGGAACCATTAGCCAAAAATGCATGGGGCAGTATTCCCTGTTTCACATTTTTCGAAATTTATTTGTTTCAGAATATGAGCTCCAGAAAACATGGCCACCTCACAATTAGAAGCCTAGATTAGCATCTTCCGTAGTGTGGCTTGTTGCCTCATGCAGATATGCATGATTATTTAGTTAAAACACTTGAGTATGGCAATTTTAATGTAGTGCATAATGTGATGGTGCCTTGCAAAATGAAAACTACCACAGTTCCTAAATTACTACTTTTATACATCAATTATGTGGCTGTTAGTTTGTTTTGTATGTAATAGTTGTAGACCCTTGTCGGCTATTGGTTTCTCTGAAGTGAGGCAAAATAGCAACAAATATTTTTGAAAGTTACTTGTTGAGCTTGCTCAATTTTTTATGTATTCTGTGCAACTCATAACATTTTATTTCATTGAAGTTTTTTCTTTTTTCAAGGCCGGGACTCTGCGTGGATGTCTCTTGAACGTATCGGCAGTGTGCTGTCCAAAGTTGTGGAAGTGTGCTGGCGTTTACTTGAGATTCACATGATGAAGGCTGTGCTGCTCGCAGTCTTCATTCTGGCAATATTCGATGTAAGTTTGCATATATTTGCATTAATAGTTACAGAACTTGAGCTTAAAGGTTATTTGTCATGCTCCAAAGCTTGACGCACTTGAGTACTTCAATTTGGGTTGGACAGCATGGCAAAAATGTTCCAAAGCTTGTGCGAAGCTGTATTATTTTATTATACTTTTGATGTCAATCTTCCTTGCAGTGAGAGTATGGATTCACACTGTAAGCCACACATATTGTAACTCTCTTTAATACAGGACTGGACATTATGTGACTTTACTGGGCATGTACTCTATTGTCCTTTATGAAAGGAAACACGGGAGCGCGTGCCGGCGCTCTGCGGCGGTAAGGTTCCTAGATGAAACAAGTTTCCAAGGTAGAGGCACTCGTTGTTCTTGATTGTTCTCCTCACTCTCTTGATTACCCCTCTTTTTCTCTGCCATCCGCGACTGTAATTGGTGCATTCCTTGCAAGTGATCTTGCAAATGGCTGGTGATGTTATTTATCATTATGTACAAGGTTCAAAACGAGTACACATGCGCATATGGCTCCACCCAGATTCTCGCCGTAACCAAAGACAAAGTCAAAGCCAGGACATTAACCAAAGACAAAGTCGTAGCCAGGACATAAACTGATGAAGAGGAGCATTTTCAGCATTTCAGTGTGCGCCAAATCGACCAAAATAGTTTCGCGATGCTCACTGAATGCAACATCCGCGTTTTTCAACAAAGCTCCGTTGCCGTAAAACAACAGGAAATGGTTTCACTCTCTTCAACTTATCTCGGGCTTTTCGAGATGAAGCACACTGGAAGTGTAGCTATGAAACATTTAACGCTACTGCTTTCGTGCAACTCTTTCGACGTACGTTGACGTGGATCTGTGAACTGAGTTTATTTATAGGTTTTTATTGAAACACCAGGCGCGCGTCTAAGTGCGTATGCACGCATGCAGAGCAACTGGAAGGCCCCGCCGCGGTGGTCTAGTGGCTAAGGTACTCGGCTGCTGACCCGCAGGTCGCGGGTTCGATTCCCGGCTGCGGCGGCTGCATTTCCGATGGAGGCGGAAATGTTGTAGGCCCGTGTGCTCAGATTTGGGTGCACGTTAAAGAACCCCAGGTGGTCGAAATTTCCGGAGCCCTCCACTACGGCATCTCTCATAATCATATGGTGGTTTTGGGACATTAAACCCCACAAATCAAAATCAATCAGAGCAACTGGAGGGTGTAATCAACGCACCTTCAGAAACATTTCACGCTTGACCAGTTCATGCTTAAGCCAAAACGCGCTGCTTCGAGACACCTCACCAGTAGAATTCTCACTTTTCAGGAAGTTCCGAGCACCGCATCAGAATCGCCTGGCATCACGATTGTCCGAACAGGCACATTTAAAAAAACGTTACCGCACAGCTGCTGGTCAAGCATTTGTACCAGTCTGGCCGTAGTTTTTTCTTGCGTGTGCACAAGCCGGCTGTAACTGCTCGTCACGTCACGCCCTGTGGTCACTGACAGGATCCAGCAAGAAGCGCGTTCACTGTGTCACAGCACGAACAAAACACATTCGGAAGAGTGGACTAATTATAACTGGACAAACTACAATGTACGATACGAGACGCCATGGCTAGTGGTGTAAACTATAGAACTGGACAATGTTGCCAATTGAGTAACGCACATCTTACTTGCTCTTGTGTTGTACTGTTTATTCTACGACTCATTTTGTTCCATTTTGTTTCATTTACATCTATTCACCGTAGCAACTGAACAAAAACATTTGCTTTTTTATGAAAGTTTTGAACCTTATAAGCGGTGCTTTAGGAACATAGGCGAAAAGGAAAGGGGAAGGTGTCGCTACCTTGGAAACTTGTTTCATCTAGGGACCTTAAGCGGCGGCCGCCTACAGCGCCATCAACCGACAGCGATAGAAAACACATTGGTTATCTTGTTCGTCGATAAATGACACCGAACGCGAGTCTTGGCCAGTCACGGCCGGTCTTGAGGCGCGTGCTCGCAAGGGCATGCGTCCAGACTGGCCGTGACCGGTTATGGTGTATTTGCCAGGTGTTGTCCACACGCCACGGTAGATTTTTTTCGCAGCAGATGACTCACTGCAAGCATCGCCGGTTGCGCTATCGTAGCCAACACGTAATCCAGCAGCCCTTGTCTACCGACCGTGACTGGTTATGTTGTTTGCCTATAGATTGCGCCGAAAGCAAACATATTTTCTTTCACTGTCAGTTGATGGCGCTACAGTCGGCCGCCGCAGAGCACTGGCATAGTTTGCGACTAGTCAACTGCCAATTGGGGGTTCATTCATTATTTGTACTGACCACGACTTCTCAAATGGTGGGATTTTTTTTGAGTAGGCATCATCAGCGTGCACTCTGTTGCTTTTCGCCATAGTGTTCAAAACAGCACTACAATACAGACATATTTGTGCTCTCATTAAAATAAAGGCGACGAGTCATTTTAAACGCACATATGCTATAGAACGTTTGCTTATTTATCACATATGTAGTTATCATTTGGTTATCCTGGGTGTGGATTTTTAAAAAGCAGCAAAACCACTACCACTCTGCAGCAGATATGGCTTTTGAAAGGGATTTGCATCATGTTTCTCGTTACTTTACGCTTGTACCTTTGTGATTGAAAATTTAATTGAATTAGTATGCAAGCAGCTTGCTTTACTGCTTGATGGGAACCACTGTTTTAGGGCTTTTTTGTGTCCTGAATTATATGAACTCGAGCAGCTACAGAGCCAAAATTGTGGAAATCATAAAATAAGCTGCAAAAGAGTGAAAATTCTCTAAATAATTAAAAAACTGAATTATTTGCTTTTCATCCCTAATAATGAGGCTATTCTGAAACCTGTCTGCTGAAATGTGGCAGAGAGTTCTTGCTTCTACTAACTCTGTTTATTGTTTTGCAGGTGTGTGCAGTGCACATTATATTTGTGGCACTTGTTGTAGTGGCCTTACCATTCCGCTGGATGCAGCTTTTCCTCACACACTGCTGCTCCATGTGGGCCTCCATGCTGCTGCTTGCCAAAATGATTTACCAGCTGAACTTTGTCGATCGATATGGCTGGGCCACAAACTGCTCAGTGAGTGGAGTGGTAATGCTAAAAACTAGCATGTGCTCTTTTGTTTATTACACATGCATCCTCCCCCCACCCCCTTTAATTCTTGTTGGATGGATTGATAGAAACAACTTTATTGATGTTGCAGAGTGTCACTGGATTTGATGGAAATGCAACTGAATTTCCTGCTCCATTCAATGCTACCATTGACAACAGAATATGGATTGGGTTTCAAAAGACAACCAATCTTACCTCTTATTGTAAGGTGAGGCATTTTCTCATTTTTAGGCTTTTTGTTTACTAATTAACAACATTTTCTTCTTTATGTAGGGCTACATTATGCTGATAGTAGTATTTTCAGCACACGCAATGGTGCGTTACAGACAGCGCTTCTACCGGGCACGGCATCAGCTTCCAGAGCCACGCCCTGGTGTAGTCTTTATCCAAGCCAATCGCTCCACTGCTGATGATGGTATCAAACAGTGCCTTATGTACCTGCTCAATTACTTCTTCTACAAATTTGGTGTGGAGGTGAGTTGGTACTTCAACTCCTTGGTGTTCTGAAATGACAATGAATGGTATTTCCACATTCAAGTTCAGTGCCTCATTTGAATGCCAGCTGCTCTATTTTTTTAAATTTTGTACTACCCTTTGTACTACCCTTTGGGCATAATGAAATTACAAAAAGCTTTTTGCTTGTTAATTGGCTATCAAGTGGAACATAGGAAGCAAAGTTCTGTGTATGTAAAGTGCAGATGTTTATCACATTTTGAAACTTCTTGGGGCCCTGAAGTTTAAGCATCAGTAATTAAGGTACACAGCTAAGTATGCCCTAGAATGACTGAGCCGAGCTAGTTGGTAGGTATTCATGTTAAAGAGAGAGGATGTGCTAACATGGATGCAAGAAAGAAGTGAAGTTCTCTCTTTTGTTTTTCTTAGCACACCAAGTCTCTTTAAGATGTGGCCTGGTTGTCTATCAGGGCAATTTGGATCGGTGCTGCTTCTTTCTTTCTGGCTGTTCTGTATATATGAACACCATTGGACTGTATACATTTCTTACGTTCTTTATCTTGTGAAGGTACAGAGTTCTTTCAAGCGACACTTATCACATGCATCTGTTCTATCTCAAGTCTCCTAGTTCATGAAAATGTTACCTAAGCATGATGATGCTGTTTATTTTTGCTAGCACACACACTGTGCGACAGACATCAATTCATGCCGAAGGGTGTATTTACTAGATGTCGATAAATATTGTCATGGGTTTGGAAATGCCATTTCGTCATGGCTGCTGAAATAGCACCTAATGGCAGAGGACGACAACGTTTCCGCTGCGGGGCTGTCTGGAGCTTCCCTGTTGCCCTGCAATTCTCTATGCTCTGTGCAACGTTAGCTCAATCATTCCTGACTGACAACTGCTAAATAAATACTCTCAGTAGCGATTTTGACAATATTCCCACTTCATTTATCGGTTAAGCATGTCTTGATTGTATCAAAATTTTGCCAGAAAAGTGATTTGTTATGCTCTAAATTCGAGCTTGGAAAACCTGCTCTATGTCATCCACAAGTTCACAGGATCATACGTGGCAACAATAAAAACATGGCTAATTATGCAGTCCTTCAAGCACCCCATCATAATTGATGACTCAGTTCAAAATGTAGTGTAGAGATAACACAAGCTCACATATGCTTGTGCTGTCATCAATACATTAAGTTGATAATTTTGATACATAACCATTTTTTCTGGGCATAAGCTGGCTTTTCATACCATAATAGGCTTGTTTATGCTTGAATAGCTGTTGTAAGTCAAGATGATGAGGACGGCAGTGTGTTAGGCAAATTCTTTGCGTCACTGATGTGACAGAGCTTTATCATGGTTTTGTAGCCATTAGTTCAGGTAATTTCTATGCCAGTCCTATCATCCATACAACTGGCCAATTCATTGAGAATGTAAGCATAGGGTTTCTCTGATCACTGACACAGCGCAGGAAGCAGAAATTGAATTGCCTAGCTTTGGAAAAGGCATTGCTAACAACATTGCAGACTTTTACCATAAAAGCAAAAAGTTGCCTGCATTTTATTGCAATTTTTGTTCATTTCCAACCATCTCTCTTTTTTAACGAGCTCTCGCTTCTTATCCCTTCATGCACTTGCTTTTCTATAACATCACTGCATCCTTTCATATCCAATCTTAGGCTCTCTCCCATGTATTTCCAAAGCATACCTACTCTGTGCAGGCATAAATAAAAACGCATTGTAGAAGTTGTTGAGTTTCTGAGGGAAATGTTGTAGAGCTTTCATTGAGGGTAGAGCCGATTCCCATTCCTACTTATGCCACTGTCACACCATATGGCCGAACGAACATTTATTGGGAAAATTATGATTGTATTTGACACTGCACTTCGTGTTCTGTGTCCATTGATCTGTGCCATGACACACACATGCAGCATTCTAGTCAAAGAGCTTGTAGCAAAAAAAAAAAAAGAACTTTAAAATTTTACGGTCACTTATGGGAAAACCTTTTATGCTGCTATTTCATGTGGCTATTCCCATAAGTAGTGTCATATTTTGCAAACTGTACTCTGTAAAGTTAAACAATAAAAATGTCTCGAGGTGCGAATTAAACATAATTTTGTTAGTAAAGTTTTAGGAGGGGTGTGCAAGTATTCAAGTTCCGAATTCAAATCAAATAATTCGATTAGGCTGTTGAATAGCTAATGTTTGAGGAGGGGTGTGCAAGTATTCAAGTTCCAAATTCAAATCGAATAATTCGATTAGGCTGTTGAATAGCTAGTGTTTGAAGTTTCAGAAAATTTGATAAGATCAGGGGGGGGGGGCGAAAATTAATGCTGATGTTGTTTAGTAGGTCGTTCTTCCAAACTTCCACCAATATCCTGGTTCAAAAGCGAGCATATGTTTGTTTTAAATGAGATGGTCATTTCCACATGTAGCAAAAAAAAAAACACTTGAACGCTTTGAAGCCCTTTACAACTGCACTTCAGAAATGAAAGTTCAGACTTCTTGCACTGTTCGGTTTCATTTGCCGTAAGTGCTGTAAAACTTCCAGACTTTGACTCATGAAACCCTCAGTGATTGGGTTCAGATGTGCAAATTCGTTCAACCAGCAGTGCCACAACACTCATTCAAAAACTTCCGTCAATGTGGTGCACATTTAAAACGCTGCTTTGAACAGGTGTCGAAGATTTTTGAGCCCAGAGCACTTACGACTATGAAGCACAACTTTATATCCTTGTGACATGAACCATATTGAGTGACCTTAAAAAAATAAAAATAAAAGAAATATAACTAGCTACCATACCCCCTCTATAGCCCTTAGGCAGCTATGAGTGCCGTGGCTGTTCTATACATGCCTGCACAAGCATAAAAGCTGAAAAAAAAATTCCCGAACAAGCGCGTAATACAAGATTTTACCACGCCAGAGTAGAATGGCATTTCATTTCATTTTTTTTTTTCTTTCTATATTCAATATAATCTTGTGAAATATACATTTTTCGCCACTATTCGGGGCTATTCGATTCAAAATAAAATTTCACTGTACGCATACCAGTAGTTTTTTGTCTTAAGGTCAGAAGTGTGCTTGATAAAAGCATGGCCATTCTGCTCCTGCAAATCTTTTTCAAGCTACATCACACAGCAGAATTAGTTCCATGGCACATTGCAAGTAATTCATACAAAACATTTTTAGCTCATTCAGTTATGACAGGATGCAGCTGCAAAATACTTTATTTTAATGCACGAACGTCCACACCCTTTCATTCAAGTAATCTGGTGTAGTAGTAGTGCTTAGCATTACTGACATCTTCAGGACACGGCTCTTTCCTGCTTCAATCTTTATGGTCGTTGCATGTCTCCAGTGCTACAGTCACAATTTTAATTGAATTTTCTTTATTTACCCAAACTTAGTGCATGATTTTAGGCCCCTGTGCCGGCCACCTTACACCTGCCAATTGTCATTGATCAACTTCCTCAATATCAATTAGCTCTGCAATCATTACACAAGCATTATTTGGACGTGAACATACAGCTCATGGTGGCAGCTCATTATGTGCAGGCATAAGCCAATTGCAAAAGCTAGTGGCTGATTTTCAGTGCCCATATGCCTTAAGTATATAAAATGTGTCTGTATACAACTTAATATATGTGCAGAACATAGGCACGTTTCTGGTAATGAAAATATGAAAAGCTTTCACAGCTTCAAGCTCAGTGTAGTGCGCTTACAAAAGCTAAACATTTTGAAGATGAAGATATTGAAGCACTGTTTGTCACCCTCAACATGCCTGAGTTGTTTTTCTGTGACAGCCTTGACCAGAGCAAGCATAACAACTTGTATAATCAACTACCATGAGAAGACTAATATACAGTTGAATCTCATTAATTCGAACATGCTTAATTTGAACTTCCAGTTAATTCGAACTCACAATGAAGTCCCATCAAATCTGTGTGTATTCCAATGGCCGAAAACGCCTGTTAATATGAACTCGCAAGCACATTCGAGGGTTAATTCGATCATACCGCGCTTTGAAAATGCTCTCAGCACCCCGCCCAATCCTGCAGCTATACTTTACCGCGCGGCACCGGCAACACTTTAACGCTGCGCACAAAGGAAATGAAAAAGAAAGAAAAGGCTGCTGTGGAATGTTTGCTCTCTCTCAAATGCTGATCTGCGACTCGCCCGTATCACGCTTCCTTTTTTGTCTCTGCTACGTGAAGACCCTTCTCGTTCCAATGCCATGCGCGAAGAGAGGGAAAAAAAAATAGAAAGCTGTCGCTGGTTTGAATGAATGTGTAGTTGAAGGAAAGGAAAAAGGCACTATTTTCTGCAGCCCTTGCCTCTTTTGGGAGCACGGCTCTGCGCCTTGAGGGTAGGGGGTTCTCGCGCATCGGTGCCACGCTTCCCCTTTTCGCGTCCCTGCCACGTAACCCTTCTCCTTTCAACGATGCCGCAAACAGAGCAAAAAAAAAAAGCTGTCGTGGAGTATCGGTTTTCTCTCAAATGCCGATCTGCTTCTCTCCGCATGGAGACTCTCCTCCTTTCTCGTCATGTGCTGGCCATGCTGCACCTGCATAGCGCTACGCAGTCATTGTCATCGTTTTCTTTAGAAAGTGTCGGCGCTGGACATAGCTGCGCGCAACTTCTCTTGCCAGGAGAATGCTGAAGCCGAAGTAGAAATACTTTGCAAGCTGCGTGTGAAATTGATTGACTCGCTGCAAGGCAAACGTGTGCAGACACGCATCACCGATTACTTCAATTGATAACGGATGTCCTGTGATTTGTGAATAAATGTAAGTCTTCTGAAACTTCCCTTGTGTGTTACCTTAATGCACATGCGCCACTGCATGGAGAGCCCTCCGTTTAGCTTTCATTAATTCGAACTTTTTTTAATTCGAACAAGTTTTCAGGCCCCTTCAAGTTCGAATTATCAAGATTTGACTGTAATACCCTTGCTTTTTCCTATTTGCAATGAAGTTATTGCCTACCTAGTTTGTACTGGTTTCAGACACGTTAAATATTTTTTTTTTTTCAGTTTAATTTCAAATGTTCAAGTTAAATATTAGAACTTCTTATTTTAACTTCCAATGAATCTCGGCACATTATATGGTGGATGCAAGCTGTAGTCCAGAAAATATCATTATTTGTTCTTTGTAGCAGTTTATGTCCATCAGGCAGGCTGGCTCAATAATGCACTCCTTAACTGCAATGTTCGGGCACAGATACTTCATAACTTTACAATGAAGTGTAAAATGCAGGCACATGTTTGGCATATCAGGCTGCCAGGCTTTGTAGCTATATTTGAATTTCTTACTGTGGGTTGGGTGTTTTAGAAACTCTTTTTTGGTAACAGGTATGCTTTGTAACAATGGTCACCTGCATTGGAGTGCGGCTTGACGTTTTTGCGCTGATGACATCACTGTGGCTTTGTGCCATGTTCCTGCTCCGCCGACGTAATCTTGCCAGGGTCTGGCCGTTCTATGTGGCATACCTCTGCTTTGTACTGCCGCTTCAGTACTTGGTGGTGGTTGGGCTGCCCCCAGGTCTCTGCATTGGTAAGTTGAACTTGACTTCATTGCTTATTGTTGTCATGGAGAAGTGAACTGTGGTCAATTTTCTTTCTCTCTGCAGAATATCCATGGTGGGATCCATCAAAAAAGGTTATAAGAGAAACAGCACTGTGGCTATTTTTACCAGACTACCAAGACCCACCTCTAGCACGAAAAATTCTTGGTGAGTGTCATTAAAATAATTATCTACTAAATTTTTTGAAGTGATACTTGTCTGCTTTAAATCAATCATACACTCACTCAATTATGGGGACTTTTTATTTATGCATGATAAATATAAGTGTGACTGAAAAAAAAAAAAAGCCATTAACTGCAGCTTGTTGAAGCTCTGCTGGCCCTGTTGGAACACCATCATTCTTACTGTATGCTGCTGCATTGTCACAAAATTGACACCAAATGGATGTTGTCGAACAGATGCCGAGTACTGCTTGCAATATGCTTAGACGTGGGAACTGTATCTGCTTTCACGCCCCTCACATAGTGCAGTGCAGAGGTGACTTTATAGCACATTGGTTCAAAATCTTGCAGTCTCATTATTATTGGGAAATTTCACTTTACAAAGTAGTCATGTAATATCAACAAAGGGTATTTAAAAATAGCATATGCAATCACACCAAGTGATCAGGTAATGATGGTAAGCAAAGCATAGGAAACATTATTTATAGTCTTACTTGAATTGTAGCAATTTGTAAATACAAAATAAAAAAAGGCTTTCTCCTAATGACAGGTTTCAGCTTCCTTTTCAGATCTTTTTCGTGGAACCTGGTTATAACTGTGGAATTATCATGGTATTTGAAATGTTGATCTCATGCACTGTCAGTAAAGTTGCGAGCCAGAGTCGCAAAGAACATTCTATATATTTTGTCAGGCATAATGCAGCCACTGCTAGCTGGTTTTGAATGATGGATTGCATTCTCTCACTCTTTCCACAGCTTGCTAGCAGCCAGGACCCAGTTTTGCTTACCCTAGTCAATTGTTATTGAGAGCCGCATGTTTTTTTGTGCTACACCTCTTCTCCTTTTCAAAAAGACACTGTCCATAGAGATCTGAACATAGGAATTTTCAGCCACTGTGTATGTTTACTGCTGCAGTGCACAATCTGGAGGTGACAAATTGTTCATTTAATGTTACATTCTAATCGCAGAGTCAGGACAAATTTTTTCGCTCATTTTGGAGTGAGTTTGTCGCATTGACAGAGTGAGGGTGGGAACCTACTTTTCCAGTGGGGAAGGCAGAGAGGATTCGGAGCAGGAATCACTTTTTGGAGCAGGAAAAGTTGCTCGGTCAAAATTGGTAGAGAAGGTAGGAACTCTGCCTGGTGCACTTCTTTTGATGGCACCCTGCAACAACTTTTCAAGTAACCATCAAATGTCTTTATCACAGGAGTTTATTGCCTGGTGAATTGATTGCCGCAATAGTTTTTAGAGTCCGTCAAGCACGAGTGGCAATTAGTTGTACACTGTAATTGCTTTCTCTCTTCTCTAATCCTGACTAGCCTGCTGGAAGCTGAGCAGGCAGGAATAGCAGAACAGAAACTACGTGACGCTTGTCATGACCTTAAGTTTTTTTTTTTTTTGTACATACGGGTTACTTTCAATGGGATCGCAAGCAAGCATGGGCACGTGGCACCATCCTGTGGCGGCATCGGTATCTTGCAGCCCATGATGCTCCAGTCAGCCAATGGCTGTGACTTTCGGTATAAGGCTTCATCAGTTGAAAGAAGAGGGAATGATTAATAGCTTACTTAAAAAAATTACTTGCATATTTCGGGCAGCGTGCTGTACTCTGTTTAGCCTATGCATCCTTGGGAGCCCCAACTACCAATCGGTCGCATTTTCTGACCATGCTCAAAAAGTGTTGCAATGCCCCGATGGTACCGCCGGTGACTATTGGTGGTACCGCTGGCACCACTGGTAGTCATGTTTTGGCAGTAATGATGGATGACATGGATGCCTGGGGACAAATTGTACAGCATTGCTTCAGCAGCTCAATAGTGACAGCTCCAAATCGGAGCTCCAGTTCCTGCATGAGCAATTCATTGGAGACTGGCAGTTAGGATGAAACTGCCGTGTGTGTCTAAGAATTACACAGGATTTGACTGCTGAAGGGAACAATTATACACAAGATATTCAGGGTGAACTTATAAATAGGACTTGCACTTCTACCTTGCTTAAGCAGCATGGCTTGTGTTCCAGTCATGGATTTGATGGCATTGATTTATGTCCCAATCATGTGCTCGCTTGTGGAGTCAGTAGGCTGCGCTGACTCTGCCACTCGAATTCTATAATACTGTTCTCTGGTCTGTTCACACTAGGGACAACTGCAGTATCCCTGCTGCCACTTTGATTATTTTGCACAAAGCAACCTGACCTTTTGCCACACTTTTGTTTATGGCAGCAGGGTTGCTTTCTATCAAACATGGAAACGCCTATTGCAGTCTAATGTCTCTTACTATTTCCCTTTAGTTTTCTGCAGTGGACTTGATTCAGGTTGTGTGCGGTTGTTAATAGAACGTACCTTATGACAATCAAGTCGCACTGTCTGGGTTGCTGTAAACATGCCGTTTGTTAACTCTCGGCCACTCCAGTCATTATTAGCCAGCCTTTGTGACTGACTGCATTCTCTCACTCTTTCTCATAGTCGCTGGTGGCTTGAGCCCGGCATTTTCAGATCCACTTTTTTCAGCACTAGATGCTTTTACAGGAGTTATTTGTAGGTAGATTATAAATGGGTCATTTGATATGAGATGTCAAACTGAAATTTGATATGTGTCGCCAGATCTAATGCAGTGGTTAAGGGCAATGGAAGCTATGCAAGAATTGTCCTTTACACCCTGACAGATTTAGCAGGCCGAAACCAGGTAACATTGGCTGCTCAACATTTGGAATGTCCAGAAGTGACCGCGGACTTGTGATAATAATCATTGCTGGCAATGAAAGTTGGTGCTACCAGTATGGCCTCTAAGTAAACTGACAGTGTCATATGACAAGGTCACAACAGTTTATATTCTTGAACAAATGTTCATGGCATTTTTTATGCTGAGGCCCAATGTGCTATGAATGGATTGAATCGTGAATTCTGCATTGATGTGCTAAAATGTTTGCACCAAGCACTTTGGCAGTGGCATTATGATTTGTCATCTAGGCAGTGATTCTTCTTGCTCAACAATGTGGCTACATGTCCTTCTATACATACTGATATGTAGCTGGCTGAATACTACATTTGTGCTCTATCACATCTCTTATTCACCTAAAATGTTGTCATGCAATTTCATGTGTTTTTTAGCGTGAAGCTGCTGCTGAAGGGCAGCTTTATATAGATGTGAGGGCTATTTAAATAATGTAAATAGTGTGCTGAAGAGCATCCTGTAAGAACCCTCTTTGGGTTCTGTGAGCTTTAAAGGCAGTTGTGTTTAATATGCAGCTACATGTTACTACTTCATTGAATAAATTGTTATAGCTTTTGAGGCAAGGGTTCTAAATATATACTGTAGTCTACAACTTAATTTTTTTCAAGCTCCAGTTTACAATTTGTTTTCTTACTTTTCAGTGGATTTTGTTCAACTTCTATTTGCCTGCTGTCAACTCCATGTATTCTTCCTTGAAAGTTCGCACTCAAGCATTGCGTATGAAGGTGGCTCCAACAAGGAAATTTATGACAAAACTGGCCGTTACATTGGCCAAACACCTAACCCTATACCCGACTTCGTCACCTACACAAAGTAAGCACAGACAACTGGTATCTTTTTGATTTATCGAAAAATGGTGTGCTCAATGAATTTTTGGGGAATTTCACCGGGGATGAAGTGGCAGCAGGATTAAGAAGTGGAAGCAGTGCAAGGAAATAGTCAGGACAATGACACTCATTTAACAGAGGGGTCGGCACACACTCTTCCAAGAGCAGCAGCATCGAACCAGATGTTTACGACATATTGCTACAAAAAAATTTTCTGGTGTGATAGAATGATACAGCATTCAGAACTTTTTACTTGAACACTCCGACGTGTGGCCTCGGATCACTTGGACTGAGGTCAGCGCCACCAAGTGTTGAAAACGATATGCTTGCTGCAGTTAAGGATAAATGTAGCGCGTGTCAGTTTCACTAGTAAATTTCTGTTTCCAGTCTGCCTGACCGGCGGGTCGAATGCACTCTTTTCGCATCCCGTTTTCGCCACATTTCACTCATGGCTACATTATTGTGCGCACCCATGGTGTTCGTTATCTTATACTTATCTCGACAATGGACCCTTGCGTGTGACAGCTTACGCACCTGCGTGTTTGAATTCGCAGCTGCTGCTCAGAAGGAATCGCATCTATAAAAAGCGGAGCAAACGCATGTTCAAGGCGTTTGTAAAAAGTTATATAGTTAATTTGAAATACAGTGGCGTTCATGTTCTCATTCAATAATTTTCAAACAGCGTGAATCGAACTGTTCTCGCAATCTAGAGTGTGCCTTCCTGCTCTATTCGTGCTGCAAGGAAGATGTGGTCTTGAAGCACAACATTTGTGCAGGTAACAATATCTGGAGTTTAGCGACCCAGAACCACACTTTGATTATAGGATAAGATGGCAGTTTAGGCTTTTATGTGATAACTATGCACGAAAATTGCTTTGTTTGCGTTGTATCCATGCGCCTTTTTTTTTTTTCTGAGAACACGTACAGACGTAGCGTTCCAAAATGAAATCTTACATGCACTGTTAACCAAACAGAAAAGCACACTTTAAACTGCGAAAGCAGTTCAATTGATGCTGTCTGAAAATTATTGAATTGGAACATAAAACCCGTCACCACATTTCAGATCTATTTATTGTAAAACTTTTACAAACGCCATGAACATGTGTTTGCTCTGCTATTTATACATGTTATTCCTTGTTGAGAATTCAAACTCGTAAGGTGAGTAAGCTGTCGCACGCATTGGTTCATTGTCGAGATAAGCATACAACAACGAATGCCATGGGCACATGCGTTAACGTAGCCACGAGCGAAACGTGGTGAAAATGGGATGCGAAGTGAGTACATTCAACCTGCCGGTCAGGCAGCCGGGAAACATAAATTTACTAGGGAAACCGATGCACGCTATATCTATTCCTAACTGCAGCAAGCATATCATGTTCAACACTTAGTGGTGCTGACCTCAGTTCAAGCCACTTCAAGCGAGCAGAGACCATGCATCGAAGCGTTCGAGTTGAAGCTGCTGATGGCTGTGCATGACCCCCATACAGCAGAACCCTTTATACCATGGAAAGTGAAGGACAGTCATTTTACAGCACAACTACCAAGTACCACTGTGTTGAAAATGATGGGACTGAAAAGTATCACAGGCTATCATTGCAAAACCAAGAAAGCTGCTGTGCAGCTGTAGCTGGAATGGCAACAAGAGCCAAAAGTGCCTGGAATACAGTGCAGATGCTTGCTGTTCTTAAAGCGAAGAGACTGCATAATATGGCTTCAAACATCATCTAGGCTTACCTGCATGGTATTGGAGGTTACCCTTGCACAGTGTTACCTTTAATAATTTTTAAAGGGACTCTAAAAAGAAACAATGACCTAGTTTATATTGAGAAACTGTGCTCTGAGAACTGTCATATGTTTCGCTATCATACATTCATTAATAGTGGAGAAAATCGAAGTTGAAATTTTATTATTAAATTTTGCACCAAAATCTCCGCACTCAACGTAAAAAATTTCAAGATGTATTTTTTTTTAATTTTCCCGACATTGGCTTGACAATATTTTTGGAAACTTCGTGTTCTGGGTCTATGGCACCCACAGATGACACTATATTTCATTTTTTAGCGATTAGAAATTACTTAGGACCCAGTAGACTGCCTTCAAAATCTATGACATCACAGTGCTTATTATGGGAATCTCAAGGTGGTGTCTCCACCCGCATTCTCTTTTCGGAAATTTTTTCGCTTACCTAGCATTGTGTCGTGGCAAGAGGGGTGTTTTCGGGATTGTAAAATTGTACTTCAGTAATCGTATTCAAAAAATTTTGTTTTTTATTGTCCCTTTAAGGAGCAACACCTTGTGATATGCTTCAGCACTGATCAATCAATTACATTTCAACAGTGCAGGCACTACCTGTACTACTGAAAAAAAAGATGTAAACTGCCACTTCTGTTTGTCAACTTTTGCTTGCTTTGCGCTGCTGCATTTGCACCTGTATGAGGACACTGGGAGGGGCCTCACAATAGGTTTATTCGGGCACTTGAGAGCACTTCTTGCTCTATGAAAAAATACTATATTTCTGGCAAATAATAGGTAAAAAAAAATACATTGTGCATGTTGCATCTATTTACTCCAGGAAAGGCTAACTGAGTACTCGAAAAGTTGAAAAAATACTATTTCTGGCAAATAGTAGGTAAAAAAAAGACATTGTGTATGTTGCACTGATTTACTCCAGGAAAGGCCAAATGAGTACTCAAAAAGTTTGAAGTGTATTCTATTGGAAACTACCTATCCATGTATCTGTCTGGTTAACCTCCATCCCCCACTTTCTTTTTCCTCCTCCGTCCCTCTTTTTTACTTGGAAGGTGTTATTAATTATTGCTTAGTACTATACAGCTGGTGCGCTCACTATTCGGTAAGCATTAACTGAATTCCAAACACTTATTCTCACTTGAAGTAATGCTTATCTGTATATATAGTATTTATTGCAGTGATTACTTGCATCTCTAGAAAAAAAAAAGTGCAATGGTGAAAATGTTACTGATCTACATTTCCATCTCCACACAGGTCCTATCTCTCAATGGTGAAAGTATTCCTCTTCTTTTCCTTCTACTGGATCACACTGGCAGTGATGTTTCTTGCTGGCACTAATCGTGTCAGCCTCTTTGCAATGGGTTATGTGCTTGGCTGTTTCTTTTTCCTGTGGAATGGCAACGAATTTTACCTCAAGCCCATGAATGTTCTTCTGAAAATGTAAGATTTTTATTTATTTTTCTTTTGCCTGAGATCTGCAGCACTACAATTCACTTAGAAATTGCTAGAGAATTTTTTCAAGTGCCAGGCATTATAAGCAAAATATCTAAATTGTTTATTTTACGTGTAGGCAATCGTTCAGCTCTCTGTGCTACATTTTCTTTTTCTACCCTTCTTTTCTTTTTCTTTATTTTTAATTTATGTAAATTGCTATTACATGCATATTTGTGAAAATGCTAGATCACTCTCCATATCCACAACCAAATTTCAAAATTAGAACATTTGTTTGTCAGAAACAGGAGTACAGTAGACTCTCAGTAAACGGAAATCTGTTAAATAGAACTACTGCCTAAACGGAACTATTGCTTTTGCACCGATTGGTTTCAGGCTTGTATTCAGCACCTATGTTAACCCCTCAGTAAACGGAACTCCTGTTTAATGGAATATACTTTCCTGGTCCCTTCAGGTTTCGTTTACCGAGAGTCACCTGTAAACTGTAACTTTTAAACGAAATAACATCATAATTACTTCGAAACTTTTTTCACACTTGACTTACTAAACTTTAAATTGAACTGTTTGCTTTTTCACTTTAATATGGGTATATTTAGCTTTATACTGTTAAACCGAATGTAATCATCTATTCCCCCCCCCCCCTTTTTTTTTTAGGTGGAACACATTGCTGGCCTACAATGTTGTTGTCATCTTCATTAAATGTATTCTACAGGTAATACATGTTTTTGACATTTTTCTCTATCATTTTCTCACAGAGGGTTAATGAAATTGTCATCCATATTTTTTTTCTTGGTTCTATTGCGATATATCATGTCCTGCTGTCACAATTGTGTTTAATGGCACATGCACTACTCATGCACATGGATTCGCCCCGCCGCGGTGGTCTAGTGGCTAAGGTACTCGGCTGCTGACCCGCAGGTCGCGGGATCAAATCCCGGCTGCAGCGGCTGCATTTCCGATGGAGGCGGAAATGTTGTAGGCCCGTGTGCTCAGATTTGGGCGCACGTTAAAGAACCCCAGGTGGTCAAAATTTCCGGAGCCCTCCACTACGGCGTCTCTCATAATCATATTTTATTCTTTATTCTTTATTCGGTGAGTGCCCCGCTTTGCTCAAAAAGGAGTTACAGCAGGGGGGTTACAGACTTGAATAAAACAATTCTTCGTTTATACAGCACACTTGCTTGTCTTGCAGCCGGTTCCAATCTCTGATGGTCATCACAAAAAAGGAATTATAAAACATGGTCGGTGGCCATGTCGACTAGATATGTAACTGGGTTCACTGAAATAGTTATGACGGTCAATCCCAGTCCGCCCATGAAAAACAGAAAAGAAAAACTTCAAACGCAGTTTTTTCCTGCGTAAAGAAAGCGATTCCCAACCCAATTCAGCTTTCATAGCACTGCAGCTGTCTCTCCGCTCGTACCGCCCTAAAACAAACCGCGCAGCTCTGTTTTGTATTTTTTCAAGCTTATCAATCAAGTTCGCCTGCATCGGGTCCCACACAGGACATGCGTATTCCAAAATCGGTCTAATACATGTGAAATAGGCTGTATTTTTTAATGTTCGGGGTGCCAATCTTAGGTTCCTCTGAATGAAGTTTAGAGCCCTTGCCGCTTTGCCAGCAACGTGATCAACATTGGCATTCCATGAGCAGTTATGCGACAAAACAACGCCAAGATATTTGCATGTTGGTTCGGTAATAACAGTATGCGTATCTATGGTGTACGCCCTTACTATTGGTTTCTTTTCTTTTGGAAACACGCATATAAACGCACTTTTTTAAGTTTAGCGTCATTTGCCACTTCTGGCACCACTGTAAAATACAATCCAAATCGTTTTGCAAATAAGCACAGTCACCTTCGTTCTGAACCTGTCGATATAACACACAATCGTCGGCAAGGTGGTGGTTTCGGGACATTAAACCCCACAAATCAAATCAATCATGCACATGGAGTGTTCAGGGTTTTTTGATCTGCTGTTGGTGTGAAGGAAAGTGAGGAAATGACAAAAAAAACTATTAATACTTTGATGGGCACTGTCTTTTTACTCATTGAAGGGTGGTCACAAGATGCGCCCTATTTTGAAGGCTCAGCACAGTAAAATTGTACAGATTGTGGCAGCATAGAGCACTTCAATTTTAGCACTTGCCAGCAACAATAAAAACTGCTGTTAAGAACTACACTGGAAGCTGCTGACAACAAAATAGTGCTTACAGCAGGGAAGGCTAAAACTGTATTACAGCACCATGTACATTCGGGAGCAATGTGAGAGTAGACACTGGAATTACTTTTGAATTTCATAGCTGCTAAATACAGTTGCCAACTACAAAAGAGTTCGTAATACATAATGCTCAAGGAGGAAGATGTTTCTTGCAGTTCAATGCATCATGTTTATATCATTACATTATGAGTCATCTTTAATTAAATATTAATTTTATGTCGCCTCTAATATCGCTTACGACTAGATATATTCTGTGGCAAAATGAAGTGTCTAATTGAGGCTACCAGTTCACCTTGCTGGATTGACTGAGCCAAACTGTCATAAACCAACTTCAGAGAAAAAAAACAAACAGAAGTAATCGTAATGCAACCAGGTAAGATAGGCTACGCACCATGTGTACTAATGTTGCACATCTATAAATTTAATTGTCCTATTCCTTGGAATTGGTAAAGAACTTAATTGGATTTTGGTGCACGTTAGAATTCCAGATTGTCAAAATTAATGCAGTCCCTTCACTATAGTGTGTCTAGTAATAATATTGTGGTTTTTGCATGTAAAACTCCATAATTATTGTGAACTTAAAGATAACATTGAGGGGAGTCTCCCTTCATGATGATGACAATCGGCAGTGGATAGCCTAGGTAATGGTGCGAGTAATCAAAGAGATGAAACATAATAGTTACTAGTACGTGTCATATCATCTCATTCAGGATGTCATCTCATCCAGGATTTAAATTGCAGATAATTTGTTGATTAACTGCATGCATAACTAGGCTTAGTGTGGAATGTGTATTCTAGACATCTTGATGATGGATTTAGTGCCTAATTTGAACAGCCTGTTCTCCTACCTAGGACCCACCACCGTGGTCTTATGGTTAGCATGCTCGACTACTGACCTGAAGATCACGGAATTGAATCCTGCCTATGGAAGCACAATTTCAAGGGAGGAAAAATGTTAGAGACCCGTGAGCTTAGATTTAGGTGCAGGTTAAAGAACACCAGATGGTCGAAATTTCTGGAGCCCTTTGCCGTGGCTTATATCGTAATCATATTATGGGGTTGGGATGTAAAACCCGAACAATTACCGAGGTAATTGGTTGGCGGAGCTAACCAAACTGAGCCTAGGCTGAAAGTCCCAGCATTGTACTGGGCCACTACCAGTGTACATTTCTGCAGCATTCTAATTATCATTGTGATACCTGATGACGCTTTCAATGGCCATATCAGATTTCAACACAGAGTTGTGTGATAGTGTTTTGATGATTGTTGTGCTGTCACAATGTTTCACAGGGCTGAATACTAATTCTCAAAAGTGCACAAGTTCCTAACACATGCAAGCCTCGTTAAGGTGGCAGTTTTATTATAAATAAAAGTATTTCGAATAATTGTTATACAATTAAATGTGGATATAAATAAATTGATAAGTTTCCAGAAAATTTATTATAATGAAGATTTTGTTATATGCATGTTCGGTACGAAATTTCAGAAAATAAGCACGCAAATAAAACCGGGGGGGGGGGGGGGGGGGGGGGGGACAGAAGGCAGAGCTAACCCAAAACACTTAGTTTACAATAATAAACAACTGCATTATTATTGCGATAGCAATTATATGGGCAATTTCGGCGGGTTTTTGTCATCGCCGCCATGTTCCGTAACAAGTCTAAATTGGTAGCATGCCCTCGTGCATCGTAACTTTCACGAGCAGGTAAAAGCGCGGGAGCGCTGCTGAAGCAGAGATCAAATGAGTCGGCTCATCCCTATCGCTTGGAAAGTGCATCGGATAACATCTCCCCGAGTGTTAGAACTGCCGTGGAATGCTCAAACAGAAAGTAAACCACCCGTCTTGAACAAGCATGAAACAATGCAGGAAGGGGGAGGGGGTGGGATTGCTTGAGTCGCAATAATGAACTTGGATTTTAAGGGCGGCGGGCGGCAGTGATCACTGGCGCACTTGCTATCTTGGCGAGTAGAAGTGCGGTTTTAATGTGAATGAACCGTGTGAAAGGAGCACTTCTCCTTAGAGCGGCCCCATTTGCTCACATCAGCATTTTGTAGGAGTTCGGCGATATTCGATTACAATTTTTCGTTCTCGCGTGCATTGCATCGCATTCAACGTGCCGTCGTGATGCCAAAAATGATCGGTTGATTGCGAAAGCTACCAGCCTGCAAACTCCCGGCGCAATACTGAAGCACGTGATGATTCAACATCCGAAGATCTGTCGTCACCGTGGTCTCAGTTTCCATCGGCGCCTAATCTGACATCTCCTCAATGTTGATGGTATGGTTGACCAAAATTAAGAAAAAAAGTCACAGTTTCGCCGCAAGGGTGATAACAATTCCTTGGAATGCAACGCTGAAAACGGCAAGTAGATCGAAATGTGCAGTGCGCTGCTCATGCACACATGATGCACAAAAACATACACAGGACGAGAGCGAACTAACAACATTTACCGCTTGACACCTAATGCGCTGTTTAAACAAAAACGAGGCAAGAAACATAATCACAGGTACAGATATAGGTGTGAACTAACAAGTGCCTCAGTTGTTACTTCACCGTGTTTGAAAAGCGCACTCTTTTCGCAAATTCGCAAACGGCGCCTGTCCAGCGAGCAAAGTGATCTTTGTGCGCTCGGCAACTGAATGACATCGTTCAGGTTAAAGTCGAAGGTGCGCGATTTTCCCCACTGTAGGATAACCGCGCACGCACAAGCACCTACCCCCCTCCCATTCGCAGGGCAAAGTACGCGTGGGAGATAAGCGCACGTCAGCGCATCGTGACGAGCTGGGCGCCGAGTGCAGGTGCCTTCTTTTTAAAGACGATAGTCTTTCTTGGGAACCTTCAACGCAAAAAATTTTGTTCTGTCTGTCTGTTTGTCCACCCTTAACGATACCGGGTACTTTAAACAGCACCAGCCAATGCCCCAAACGGCCAACATTGTTCGTAGCGCCCACCAATGTTGCTCAAGATTCAGCATTCACACTTGTGCGGTTGTCAATTAAAGAGCAATTATTGCGCATATCTAAAGCACCAGAACAACACGTATATATTCCGTATATGCGTCTTTTACTAAAAAAGGCATACATAAGTAATTCTAAGGACCGTAGCGTTTATCACGCTGCGCTGACCATGCAACGCTTGCACGAAAAGGCAAGTGTTTTTCAGTGCTTTGCTAAGATGACACGATAGTGGCACCTACCCGTTGCCTTGCGTTCTACACCTTATCACCTTTGAGACTCATAGCCGCATGCCTTGTTTTCCAAGATAACTGCCAGATAGCGCTCATGTCTCGCGTGTCACGTGGCTTGATGTGCTCGTTCGCCTCCGCTGCACGCTCTAGGCACTCTAACCCAGCGCCTCCAGAATATCATTCACCGATATTCTTGCGCAGAGCATCAAATAAACGTTTCGTTCTCTCTCTCCAGATTCAAGACTATAGTCTTTCGACGACATTTGCAGATTAACATGCAGGTACAGGGCTAATTTCTTTCTTT